CCAGTCACGATCAGCCAGACACGCCAGGCTCTCTAAGCATGCGCCAAAGAAAGAAAGAGACCAAGCGTCGCTCTTCTGGTATGCATTTTCGGGCTGCTGAGATGCAGGGAGTGTCTAGGCTGAGGTGTAATGACATAACGTTCAACACCATAGATGATATGGATGTCGTGTTATTCTACATCAATCGCAGCAAATGTGATCGTTTCGGCGAAGGAGCTCTCGTCCGGATAGGGTGTGCGCTCCGTAGCACTGTTCGGCCACGTGAGGAGCCCCTGTGTACCGTACATCAATTGTCTGCTTTCATGTGCGATGGCTTCGTCGCCATCACGATGGAACCGAGACCCTTATTCGATAACTTATCGCACTTCACCTTCCGACGACACGTGCAAGAAGCCTTCAAGTCCTCTGAACGACCCAGATCGCCGGTAGCTACCCACTCTTTACGCCGCAGCGGCGCTCAGTGGATGTGGTTCGCCGGCATGAGCACCTTCAACATATCGCAATATGGCAGATGGTCAGTACAAAGCGTCCTAGAGAGGACATATCTGAAGAAGTCACTAAGGCGAGTGAGCATCAGTATGCATCGTCCATGATGTGAGGTTCCTATAATCCTTAGCATTCGTTTTGATAACTTGACTTGAGTTCAAATGGCTTCGGGTCTGGAATTGGAGCACAAGAGCCGAACTGCTTGAAGACCGCACTTTTCCCATCTTCGATGTCGACGCGATATCCTAGTGCCACTAGATTAATACTGCTCCAAGCAGTATATACCAAGCAGCCTGCTTGGTATCCGTGATACCACTAGGCTAGTGGTATCACGGATACCAGGCAGCACTAATCTTGCGAGTGCGGCCTTCAATCCCGATAGGGTGGCACGAATTATTTCCTTCCAATTATTTCCTTCCATTTCCTTCGGAAAGATGAAGGAAATTTAGAAAATTCTTTCGAGCAGGAAAAATAGGAAAAATAAGGAAAAATAAGGAAAAATAAGGAAAAATAAAGAAAAAATTCCCGAAATGACCATAAATCGGCACAAAAATCCCAAAAAACAAGAGGTCTCACACCAGGTGATGTCTGGGATATATGCCTGTGTTAGTCGTCTCGGTTAGACTGAGTATAAAGAGACCTTGTTCGCCAGGATGATCAAAGATTTTTGTGGCGAGCGAGAATTCGATTCGCACTTTCACTGGAAGGTCCAGCTTGCGGTTTCGGACTGAAACTTTCAGTTATTGCATGGCACTTCGCAATGCGAAGTTCGCATCATGATCATTTTATTCGAGCGGGAAATGCTGCATTCCCAGTGGGAATGCAGCATTCCCCCTGGGGGAATTTCCCACAAGCATAAGACGGTGGAGTATCAACGTAGCATACTCCAAAACAAACGGATAGGTATCCCTGACGCAACATATAGGCAGTGGTTCTGGAACCGGCCGCAGGCTCACAGTATGAGGCTCTGAACTAGTCAGTAATCACCGTTACCAATAGACTGACGTTTGCACCTCGTTTCGCATGGTAAGTCAGTGTTCTCGTCTGCATTTCTTGCTGATACGAGCGGTCGAACCTGTGAAAACGATCGAAACTGGAAGGCTTTGTTGGTTACTAGAAGACAATGTTGGCCGCCCCATGGACTGCCCATGAACTGAAACGAAGGAATGCAACCATCAAAGGATCAATCAAGTAATGCTCAACGACAGCTCTAATCACCGAGCGTTGCGTTACAAACTTTCCTATAGAAAGCGCGCTTGATCAGCCGCAGCGGCTGAGCTTTAGCGCACGCCCTGGTCTCCTCCAGTGTGGATATCTCCCATATCTTGTAACGCTTTCAATTTCAATCAAGCTATGAAACATGATTAGTAAGTGCAAATCATCTGCTAGCAGCCCGACCGAATAAGACGATGACGCTCTGGCCTGGCAAACCTGGCAGGCCAAGCGAAAAAATTTATTTTTCCATATTTTTCCGTATTTTTCCTTCAAATTTCAAATTTCCTTCCGAAGGAAATAATTTTTCTATTTTTCCTTCCGCGTGCCACCCTAAATCCCGACTCTTCATGGACAAGTCTAGCTTGTCTCTCCAGACCCACGTGTTTCGTGTGTGGTAATTTAATGAGTACAATTGTAGATAAAATCTCTAGATTCCATTAGCCACTGCCTTGAGTTCCCAAATGGTTAACACTGGTCGAATAGAGGAAAGTCAGGCCCTTGTACTTTGGTGTCATTCACCTCTAACGGTGCCGCATAATCCTTTCCACCGTAAATGAGCTCCCATTCCGGGACGCATTGTACAACAGTGTCTCTGAGGTCTCGAGCAAAGACTGATTGCTTCCGGTGCCCTATGAGCCTCCAAGATTTCGCCTGATGACGAATTCATGACTCATCCGAAAGAGGCGACAAGGAAATCCAGTCGAACTTCGCTGTCCTAGTCAAGGGCTACTGCCGCGATGCCTGCCAATGATCTACGGATAGTCGAGAGCTCATGCTCACCCAACAACCATTTTCTAGCCGCCACGCTGGACTTGACCAGTTCTCTAATTACATCGTCCTGGAGTCTGTGTCGAACTCGAAGGTTGGATGGCCGAGAAGCTCCTTTAGGATCACTGCCTCAGCTTCCCGTGCGCGATGGTTTCGCTCGGCATCGGTATTCAATTTGTGTTGATTTTTTAGCTCTTTTTATAACGCAACAGCTCATACTGAAGCTGCGCTCAGACATTCAAGATGAGCCTTGAAGGTGGAGCACGATGTAGTGTGATAGAAATTTGAGCTGGGTTAGTGATGTTAATCTGAATATCATTGGGGGGCAGGTATGTGATAACGGCACCTGACAAAAGATGATCCAATGAGCAATCCAATGCCATGAGTGATATGTACAGTACATACGAGACATATGAGTATATACGAGACCGAGTACATAATGTACTCGGTCTCGTGGAAAAGTGATACCGCATTGAAACTGATAGAGCCTGAGCGAGTGTTTTTAGAGCTTACTGGCAAGAGATGCTCGGGCCACAGGTGCAAAGGCGCTGGTATCGTCCAGAACAACCCTAGCTCCTTCCATGTGGAACGGCACAGGCGACGTGTTGTTGAAAAGTGTACTTGGAGGCATGGATTTCGACTGCATGAGCCTGAGAATGAAACCCAGGATCAAGTAATAACCAGTGTTGGACTTTGCGAAGGACATGAAGGCACGGTAGACACCCCTGCTATTAAGAACGCTGCAAGCGAGTGAAAAAGGCGACATTTCGAGAGGTAGATGAGCTTACATTGTTGTAATAACAAGATTATCAGGGTCAGCATCAGTCGTAACGACCTTGCCTGTTACAGAGCCGAGAATGGGCACAGTCCCATCGAGCAAGAAAGTGCCAATGGGAGGTGGTCCCGGAGAGGGAGTCGGCCCATGAGTTGTAGTAGGCCCTGGAGGTTGAGTAGTGCCGGGAGCTGTAGTGGCCGGAGAGGCAGTAGTAGTTCCGCCACCTGAAACGGGAGACCTAGGGAGCCTGCGCCGAAGTATTCGACCCACCGTTGCTGCTGCATCCTTCCCAAATGACAGCGTTTATGATCACGAGAGCGAAGGTCAAGAAGATTTTCATTTCTGGTATCAACAAAGCTGAAGCCAGACACCCAAACGTCCTCGGCCAGAGCAGTTCTCCTATTCGCCGAGCAATAGGGATTCTGGCTTGGGCGTTCGAGCACTACTATAACAGGCGGCGTATCCTCCACAGCTTGCTCGTGAGCGAAGCAAACAGTATATTGATACGAGCGAAGCTCTATCTGATAGAGTCCATCACACGATTGGGGTGACTTGGATACATCACGTGATGTTTTGGTGGCACCGTCGACGTCACGCGGGAACCGCGCCGCGGTCGATGCATGCCACGCATCATATGCATACGCGTGCACCTTTCATCGTAATGTGGAAAGTCAAGGATGCCCCAATGCTGACGGCGCCTCTCACGAATCCGACCGGATTCTGAGGATCCGGGGAAGAATCCGATTTTTTGCATGGTCCAAGTAGAGAATATTGCATATCAGCTAGAGCGGTCCCGGCGAGTATTCCCTGACGACAGCGGCTTCGTAACAACAGTTAGCCAACTCTGCTTCGCTGTCTGCTGTTACCAAGAGTGGACCACTACTCGTGGTAGCGGAATAGTCGATGCAGTTCCCCATCCATCATCGCATCACCATGACTGCACCATTGGCGATGCGGACGAAGGGTGAAAGTTTCACCGTGAAATACCATTGTGCTTGTATGCACACTTCAAACTGGATGCACTCGTGCGCCGCGCCGCTCATTGTGCGCGTGAGGTTAGACTAGTCGGTGTAACATCGCAGCGGGTGTATCCTCTGCTGAATCAGCATCACTGAGCAGTATTAATATACTGGGTCACTACTTTTGATAACAGAACCCTCCGCTCAATTGAGGCGCGGACACCTCGTTCTCAGCGAACGACGTCTGCGCTCGAGTCGAGCGGCTCGACAATATGCCACTCGACTAGCAGGCACACTGGCCGGCAAGCGAAGGGACATTACCACGAGACGTGATCAACCTTTGTAGCATACCCTGGAATGAGACTCGCATATGATAGCTGAGCCCCGCCGAACTGTGAGGCGCGGTTGGGGATAGATTGCGGGGATCCGCCCTACGCCGGACCGAATGCCGCACAAGGGTCGGTGGCCTGGCAGTCGTGAGCCATGCGCCACATGGTGTCACTCAGCTTGACAAGCCGTACGCAGGCGGCTGGCAGTGAGCGTGTGATGTTACGTAATAACAATATTAGTTACATTATGTTACGATGACACTCATCTTGGTTTCGTTATCCGGCACGTAAGATTCCGACAGTGAAGCTTGCAAAGGATGTCTCGATGGGCAGCGTAGAGTAGCTCCAGAGGGCTGCTTCTGCTGGAGTGCTCGTTGATGGAAGTTCCATCATGGAACCTAGATATCTCAGCGTCTGAGTTCCACATCAACCGTGCAAGTTGCACGGTGCAACCCGTGCCGTACGTGAATCACGTCGTGATGATAGTCACGTCTGGTAGTGTAATGCAACCGTGACGTCGCTAAGGCACGGTGCCGCCTATCGGCATCAGCATCCGTAAACTCTCAAGGCGGGCGACCTTTCAGACTCAAGAAGTCGCTTAGTGTTTAGCCCTTGAGGCTCAGCGATATCTTGCTTGCCTTCATTAAGAGAAATGCGCAAACTCACGACGATGTATGGGGAGAGGTGCCGTGTCCTCTTCGAAGGGATACCAGGCTCACGTCACAAAGCAAGGTATGCCCCACCGTCTTGCAGAGGAGTATACGGGTTTAAAATGCTGAATGGCGTCGCCATGATAGCGACAGCTACTCTGTATTCTTGCAGAGATGCACAAAGGCATACAATGTTTCATAGCGGCACCTAATAGTTGCCAGCTTGCCTCCCTGCGTGCGGAGGCACAAACAAGTTCACACTGGCTCAAGCGACAGCTGCCGTGTCTTCTTGTGCGGGCATACGCGGGCTACAATGCTGCAGCCGACAGCTGCCCTGTACTCGCTGGAGGCATATTTGGGCTACAATGCTGCGTGTCGACGGCTGCCCTGTCC